CTTATCATCACATGGTGATGAAATGGTAAAGGTAAAGGCCCTCCCGTTGATCGTCGATTTGCTCGAGCGGGCCCAGTAACGTCTTCATTGGAGACTTTGTTGTTACTGTGTCTGGCATATCAAATACGTGACGGGGAGCTTGCCAGGCTCTGCCGTGCGGGCGAGATACTCTCGGTAGCTTGCCGGGCTCTCCGAGAGGGGCGGAGGAATCGAACTCGGATCGGCCATGTTGGCAGCTTGTAAGGCGGACGCCCTACCCGCTATGCTATCGCTCGAGTAATAAAATAAAACAATCAATTTCAAGGTGTCAACTAAGCCAAGCTGAAAGTTCTTCCATAAAACAATGTCTTCTGTAAAATAATGAGCTACTACACACGATTTTCAAAATTGGTGCTTTTTAAGAACCTGCTAGTCTTCAAAAGTACCAATGTCTCGTTTTCTTTTTTTTTTTTTTTTGGAGTCATTCCTGGTAGTGCTCAGGGGACCAGGTGATACTGGAGATCAAACCCAGAGTTTCCCCATGCCAAGCAAATACTTGTTTATATTTGCTTCAGAGCCCAAAAGAACAAATATCTCAGCATGCAAGAAAGTCTAGAATTGAGTAGAATCAACTTGACAACTGGATGCAATGCACAATTCAGAATTTGGTGTCACTGGAAAATGTGTTGGGGGACCTGGACGTTGGATGGGGTCTATAGATTAGGGAATAGCATTGCTATCAATGTTAATTTCCTGGCGTAGTGCTGGTTGTGAGACTCTGAATGAGAGTATACAGAAATCCTTTCCTTTCTGGCAACTTGTCAAAAAGTCGGAAATTTTGTCAAAAGGAAAACAAAAGAAAAAGAAAACACGCGTGTCAGCAGTGCAGAGTGCTGGGGTGTATATTGTGATTCTTCCTACCAGATCCTGTCCTGGGTCAAGCCTGACGCGCATCATAACCTTGGCCATTCCTCTCCACAGTCAGACCCCTGATACCCCTGCTTGGCACATGCAAGTCGGAAAGGTGAAGGGATTTGCTGCAGCCCTTCCCGCTACTTGGGGCAGTTCCCAGACTGGAAAGCAAGTTCTGAGTTTTAGGACTGACCCTGCTCTTAGCTTGAAACTGACTGTGGATCCAGACTATTGTGCCTGGGGTTGGGGAACAGGGATGGACCAGGCACATTGTACTGGGCAGGATGGTGCTGGGACAAAGTAATGATCCACTTGCAGGATGGAAAGGGGCGTTTTTCCAGAATTCAGAGGGGACCTGACCGGTTCAGTGCAAAGCAAGATATTCTGGCATGTGGGAGGGGCCTCAAACACCAGGTGGAGTTGCCAGTGGTGGTCACCGGGGCCACAGGTTTGCTGGGGAGAGCTGGGGCTGGATGGAGTGAGCACTGGGGCCTTGGAGGAGTTAACAGGCAGGTGGGGAGGACTCTGCAGTTAGTCTTTACCAGCTAACTAAGGAGCAGCACCAGGAACTTGGGAAGTTTGGAGAAATCCCGAACAGAAGCAGCCTGGGGGGTGGTAGAGTCTGGCAGCCCGCTCTGGTAGGTGGGGGAGGGGGGGGTACCTACCCCTGTGGATGAGAAGGGAGGGTGCGGGACTCTCTGGGTGACCTCTGGCAGTCCCTCCCCGTTCCTGTTGTCTGGCTTGTCCCCAGATTAAAGAGCTGAGGGAAAGTCTGGCCACCGGATGAGTCAGCCTGGGCGGCTGCCTCCTGCCACGGCCAGCCTGCCCAGGGGAGACCAGGCTGGGAGGTGGCCTGCACCCCCCTCCAGTATTGCCTCGCAGCACCCTGAGATTTCGGGGAACGGCACACTCCCGGCTCAGTGAACTGCTCTGCTTTGCGGGTCCAGGTGCGCGGTTGGGCGCGTGCCTGCGCGTGTGTGCAGGTGTGTGTCTCCTCCACTGTCAAATATCTGTTTTCATGGGTGAGTAGTCATTACTGGGTAATGTTTTAAAACCTTTTCTGGAGGAGCACAAAGTCTGTGTGTGTGCGTGCATGTGTATGTGTGTGTGTGTGTGTGTGTGTGTGTGTGTGTGTGTGTGTTTTCCTAAAGTCAGAAGTACATTAAAAGGATTACCATGTAGATTTGATTTTTAGATAACGTTAAAATGGGTCCCAAATGGACTTCAGCAAGGGATGCTATCTCCTTAATGGAAAGTGCATGGCCCGAGGCTCAGCTCCCCCAGCCGGGCAGGGAGAGAAGGCGGGGTGCGGGGTGGGGGGGGCAGGGGGGGAGAGTGGAGGTGGGGGGAGAGGTGTCTGCAGGACTGGCTGGGGCTAGGGAGGCAGGGCAGTGAGGGAGAACGCCAGACTCTCTTTAAACTGTCTCTCTCTCTCTGTCTGGGGGGTCATATTCTTCCAAAACCTCATTTAGAGAGAGTTTGGCTTTTACATATTATTTTTTGGTGGGGGGTGGGGGATGCACACCCATCTGTATTTAGCTTCCTCCTGATTCGATGTCGAGGATCATTCCTAGCAGGTGGCCATATGCCTGTGGTGCCAGGGGTCAAGCCAGTGTCCGCCACAAGCAAGGCATTGCCTTACCCACTTTTCCCACTGTGCTATCACTTGGGCCCTGCAAGAGGGTTTCTAGGCTCTGGGACTCACCACCTGAGAGCTGACACAGTGGGATGCTCCCCAGAGAAGAGGAGAGGGATGGGTCAGACTTCTGCCCCGCCTTTCCAGGGAGACCTCAGGCCCCATGGTGCTTGGGACTCCTTCCAGGCTGGCTCTGGTGTCCTGGGACTCTGTGGGCAGCAGTGTTCTGGGACCTAAGAGCAGCTTTCAGGACTTGAGGTGGGATGCTGCCTTGTGGATTCGGGTGGGAGTCAGCCCACCCAGGTACAGGGACAGGCATGGGGGGTGTCCAGGCTGCTGTGGTGGAGCCTTCAGGGCATGCCTGGGGTTCCCTCTGGTGCTGGCGTTGTGGCCCGTGACGGAGACAGAGCAGAACAGACTCTCCTGGTGCTAAGGCCTCCACCTCTTGAGGTACACTGGAGGGGGCTCGGGTGTATCCCTGAGGAGGGATTCCAGTCGCTCCCACCCACTCCCACCCCAGCCTGGGAGAGCGGCGTGTAAACAGAACCACGCCTGAGGATCTCCTTGTGGGTCCGGAGAAGCCCGGTGAGGGGCTGGACAGAGGCCTGGCCTGCGCGGCTGGTATTTGTGAACATAGCTAAGGGGCCTGGGCCTCCCCACAAATGTTCACCCACGTCTGGTCTCTCCCCTAAGGCAGGCCTGGGAAGCTGCTTCCTGAGAGCCTCCCCACCCCCGTTTTAAGGGATGCCTGCTCCCCCAACTGCCTCCTCCAGCTCCTGAGAGCTTTGTGACCAGATCGTGCTATCTCGGACTCAGCCAGGCCCGAGGACACAGTCAGGCTGCACCCGTCGCTCTCTCAGACCAATTGACCTTTCGAGCCGTGCTGAGGAAATGAGGCGGCTGTGGTGGCTCTGCAGAAGGGCCTGCAGGCCCCAGGAGGGAGGACCGGCAGGGAGGACAGAGAGGCTTCAGGGCCTCCACTATGCCACTGGCCCCTGGACTGCTCTCCGGAGGGGCCCTCAGTTTCCCTATCCCCAGCATGACCTGCCAGGAAGCACCCAGGGCCTTTGCCACCTGACATCTCTGTGTTCTGAGAGAGAGACCCCCCACACACAGCTGGTTCCTCCCTAAAGCCTGAGGAAGGCTGGCACCTAGATGAAGGGGGGTAAGAAAAGGAAACGGCCTTGGTGCATGGTGTGGAGGCCGAGGGCAGGAAAAGCCGGGCCTAGAGCTGAGCTGGCCTGTGAGAGTTGAAGGCTCCTTGGAAGGCTCCTTCTGGGTCCCCAAAGGGACCCAGCCCCCTCACTGAGCCTGTCATGCAAGGAGCAGCCCTGCCCCCAACCTTTCCTGAGAGGGCTTCGGGAGCCCCCAGACACCTCCACTTTGCACAATCTCCATGCCACTCCTTCACCATCTAACCTCAGGGCTCCTCACTCAGGCCCTGCTGGGGGTGGGGGGGCACCGCACCTGCCCTCACCCCCGCAAGTCCCAGTTTGTGGGTCCCAGTCTGTACCCCAGGCCACATGGGTGCAGGGACGGGTGGGGGCGACATGGTCCTGAGCTCCCTGTCCTATGCTCGGTGACAGGAGTCATCAGGATCCCGGGGGAAGGCTGGAGAGTCAGGGATTCTTTGTGCTTGTGTTTGTTTTGGGGCCCCAGTGGGGCTTAGGAACTACTCCCGACTCCAGGATGGGGGTGACTCCCTGGCAGTGCTCGGGGTCGTGGGTCACCCCAGGTAAGGCCTCCTCAACCGGGCCAGCTCCTCCCCGCTGCTCTGGGAGTGCCTTACTTTGGACTCTCATCTCTATCTCTGTGAGGTACTTACTTGAGCTGAACACTTCAGGTTTTATTTATTTATTTATTTTCTTTTCGGGTCACACCTGGCAATGCTCAGGGGTTACTCCTGGCTCTGCACTCAGGAATTACTCCTGGCAGTGCTCGGGGGACCAGATGGGATTCTGGGAATCGAACCCGGGTCGGCTGCGTGCAAGGCAAATGCTCTACCCGCTGTGCTATCATTCCAGCCCCTACCACTTCACGTTCAAGGGTGATATGCAGACAGGGCTGGGGAGTTGGAATGGATGAGAGGTCAGAAGTCCTAGTGGGCCTCAAGCACATTATGAGATTTTGTCCTGAGGGCTGCAGAAGGAACCGGAGGGATGGCAACCATGTGAGACCTCCAGGTTGACTTGCTGCAGTGGGGTACTAGGTGGGGAACAGTCAGGTGAAGTGGATCAGCTCAGGGGGGTGGGGACCTGGGTGTGTGCCCCACAGAGGAACTGGCTCCTGCATGCTGCCCGTGGTGTCCAGGGGCACCTTCTCAGGGCTGGGGGACAGGCAGGGCCATGTGACCCCAAGGGCAGGAGCCAGGGATGGGGAAGAGGGAGGGGTCATAAGCCCACGCCTGGGAGGGCGGCAGGGAGAGGCAGTGGGGTCGGCCCCCACAGAGATGCCCTGTGTGTGCCCACTGCAGGCGTGCCCATGCTCTCCGTCCAGCCCAAGGGCAAGCAGAAGGGCTGCGCCGGTTGCAACCGCAAGATCAAGGACCGCTACCTGCTGAAGGCGCTCGACAAGTACTGGCACGAAGACTGCCTCAAGTGCGCCTGCTGCGACTGCCGCCTGGGCGAGGTGGGCTCCACCCTCTACACCAAGGCCAACCTCATCCTGTGCCGCCGGGACTACCTGAGGTGGGACCCCACCCTGTCTCACACACACACAGACACACACTCACAACACAGACACACAGAACACACACAGCACAGACACACACACATACCACAGACACACACTCACAACAGAGACACACACCACACACACACACACTACACACACATATTCACACATACATACACTCACACATACACCATTGGAACTACCTGAAGTGGGACCCCGTCCCATCACATACACACACACACAACACAGACACAACACAGACACACACATACCACATACACACTCACAACACAGACACACACCACACATACACACTCACAACACAGACACACACACCACACACACACACTACACACACACACATTCACACATACATACACTCACACACACACCATTGGAACTGCCTGAGGTGGGACCCCGCCCCATCTCACACACACACACACACAGATACACACACACATGCTTGCACACATACACACACACTGTAAATACCCCTGCTGCAGCGGGCAGTGTGTGTGGGCAGTCTGGACTCTACCACTTCTCCCGGGGCAGAATAACCCCCAGGATTCTGCTCGCCAGCCTAGAGACTGCTTTGACTCCCAACTCCCGCTCGCTTGCCACCCGCCTTGCCGAGTGCTTCTCCCCAGTTGCCCCCGTGCCCAGGAGAGGACCCTTGGAGGGGCTTCTAAGAGTGGGGAAGACACTCCTGGGTCCTCCAGCCTGGGACATCTCCTTCCCGCCTCTCCCCTGTAGGGAACCAGGCTTCCCCTTTCCGGGAGGGCCCTCCCCCGCCATCTCCATCACACATCAGGGCCCAGGGCACAGTGGGCAGTCATTCCAGGGAAATGACTCAACTCTTACACATTTTCTTTTCTTCTCCTTTTGGCTTTTTGGGTCACACCCAGCGATGCACAGGGGTTACTCCTGGCTCTGCACTCAGGAATTACTCCTGGCGGTTTATTTGTTTATTTCGCATATCAAGGGTAATCTGGGGGTGGGTTTTGTTTTGTTTTGTTTTGTTTTTCTCCTGAGATGTGTAATTCTTTTATGGAGTTTTTAAAAACAAAAACAACAAAAAAAGGATTTTCATATTGTTTTTCTAACATGGCTTCATTCAACGTTTTAAGTATTTTAAAAAAAATATGTAATATTTGGACCAGATGTTGTGAATAATAGTAGAGATAAAGCTATTTTATTCTGTATTTTTAAAACTGTTCCGTACAAATAAAAGCTCTTCGTGGACGCAAAAAAAAAAAAAAACCATATGGGAACCATATGGGACGCTGGGGATTGAACCTGGGTCGGCCACATGCAAGGCAAAAGCCCTTCCCACTGTACTATCGTTCCCGCCCCATGTTATACATTTTCAAACCTGGGCTTTGGGGTTTGGTGTTTTGGTTTTGTTTTGGTTTCAGACCTTTATTGTGGAGCCGGAAGTCAAACTCTTCTCCCACACATGCCGGGCCCGTGACTTACCGCTGAGCCACATCCCAAGCCCAGGAGCTGGGCTGTGTTCCCTCACAGCCTTGGACTTTAAACCCCACCCCACCCCCAGCCTCAGTCCTCCCCTCTGAGAAGTGGGGGGAACACTAACCCCCCCCCTACTCTCCTCAGCCAGCACCCTCCACCCTCCCCACAGCCTGGGCCCTGTCCTGCTCCCCCTCCTCAGGCCACGGATGACCTCAGCGGGGCTGGAAGGAGGCCACCAGCAAGCAGCGAGTGGGGCCTTGGCTGAAGCCCAGCGTCCGCATTTGGCAGGCGGGCGGGCTGCTGGGGGCGGGGGGAGGGAAGGAGGAAGGCCCATCACTGTAATTAATAGATTGGGCAGGCAAGGGCTTGGTGGGGCTCCCTCTGTACGGGTCTCGGCATGTTGGGGGGCCGAGTTAGCAGCCCAGCATGCAGGAGCTTCTGATTTCCCTGTCTGCACCCTGACTCCTCACGGCTGCCTTTCTCGGGAGTTTTTCTAAATGGAGCAGGAACTCAGGGTCTGTGGCCCAGAGCTCAGCTGGTCCCGAGAAGGCCAGGAAGAAGGTTCAGGAAGGAGCCCCTAGGCCCACCCCTCAGTGGCAGGCCCAGAGTGGAGGTTCAGGATGTCACCAGAGCCACCAAGTTGAGGGTAGAGAGAGGTGTTGGGGTCAAATGGGTTTGTAAGCAGAGCATGGCACCCAGGAAACTTCTGGGCGGTTCTGGCAACCTAGAGGCGTGTCTCCTTGCTCTGGCAGAGGCCAGCAGGTCTGGATGGTGAGGGGTTTCCTTGAGCTTCTCAGAGAACGGGGTCTAGAGTCCCACCTCTCCCCCTCCCCCCCCCCCCCCCCCCCGCCCACAGCCCCTGTGGGCCCGCCTGGGAGAAAGGCCCCTCCTAGCAGGAGGCTAAGGGGCCAAGCCTTTGTCTGCCTTAATCTGAGCCACCAGGCAGCTCTGCCGCTGAATAATGGAGCTGAGCTCATCTACAGGTGCCCAAGCCCAAGCGGGACAAATTGGGGATTAGAGGGGCCTCCCCACGGCTCCCAGCCCCCTGACACCCAGCCCTGGGCCGGGCAGCTCAGAGCAGGCCACATCCAGCCAAGGGGTAGTGTGTGTGTGTGTGTGTGTGTGTGTGTGTGTGTGTGTGTGTGTGTGTCGGCAGCTAAGCAGGGCCTTTGGAGTCAGAAGGGCACTGGGCTGCCGTGTGGTTTAATTCTCCCAAATGGAACCATCTAGCCGGCCCCCTCAGTGAGAGAGGATAAAGTGAAGAGCAGGGAAAGGAAGAAGAACCTGGTCAGGTCACAGGCCCTCAGCCATGCTCAGCCAGACTGTGCGGTTCTGTGCAGGGATCAAATCCAGCCTCATGCATCGAGGGTGTCTGCTCCACCCTCAGTGCTATGCCCCAGCCCCAGGACTCTGTCAAGTTCTTAGAACAGTTAGAGTGTGTCAGGTGCCCTTGAATGAGCTGTGGACAGACAGTGAGCAAAAGTTTCTCTAAAGTCTCTGAAGGATGCTCCATCCCCCTTTATTATTAAAAAAAGGCCCAGAGAGACTCGGTGATATGCCTAAGGTCACATAGCCAAAATCCTTTACATTCTGGCTTGTGAGTCCTTGCCCAGGTCCCTGCCAGGGCTCTCCTAATGACCCCAGGGGACTGAGGGACCCCCAAAGGGAGCTTAAGAGAAGGCCCTGCCAGCCCAGCTCAGGTATGGACAGTGCCAACCCACCCCTGGGCCCCTGCCCTCCCCTCCTGGACAGATGTCCCTATTTCTCTGAAACTTGATCTCTTGGGAAGGTCTAGATGCTTTCTCCTGTGCTCCTGTGCTTCTTCCTGCTTACCCAGGCCCAGATGCTGAAGCCCAGAGGCCAAGACAGGGGCCCAGGGTCAGAGCAGCTCCCCTGCCCCGTCCTGTGCCCTGACCTGTCTGAGCCCTCTGCGCTCTCCCCTCCCCCCCCACCAGACTCTTCGGGACCACAGGAAACTGCGCAGCTTGCAGCAAGCTGATCCCAGCCTTTGAGATGGTGATGCGGGCCCGGGACAACGTGTACCACCTCGACTGTTTCGCCTGTCAGCTGTGCAACCAGAGGTGAGTGCCAAGCCCAGCGAGGCCTGCTGAGAAGGGCCGGGAACACTGTCGAGGTGCCCGGGTAGTCATGGTTCTGGGGCTTTCTGTGTGTGTTGGGGTCATCTCCAAACATATGGGGTGTTGGCTGGGAGCCTGATGCCACTTGTGTGCATAGGTACCATGTGTACGTGTTGTTGGTGGGCATTTTCTGCATGGATGGATGGATGGATAAGCTAGGGTAATGTGATCCATGTGTGTGCATGTGTGTGTGTGTGTGTGTGTTGTTCATGTGAGCTTGCATGTGTGTGTGTGCGTGTGTGTGTTGTTCATATGAGCTTGCATGTGTGTGTGTGTGCATGTGTGTGTGTGTGTGCATATGTGTCCCTGTCTATGCCCATGCCGGTGTGTGTACACAGAAGAGTCATTTTCAGTGTCTTGTCTGTGAGGGGAGAATTTATGTGCACATGGGGAGTCCACATGTGTGTTCATGTACAACGGTTTTGTCTGTGTGCTCCATGTATGTGCCATGTACACATGCATGCCTGTGATGGAACAGGAAGGGATTCCCAGACCTGGAAGGCTAAATCCTTTTAGAGAACAGTCCCGCCCCTATTCTGGCCTTGGCCCTATCCGACCCCAGGTACTTAATGAGGCAGAGCCCTTCCGGCTGGGTGCCCACCATCAGAAGGCAGCCCTTTCCTCAGGAGCCCCCAGTCAGGAAGGAACAAACACAAGTTTTTGCAGAGAAAGCCAGAGGAAGCTTTCAGGCCAACAGTTCTGGCGGTGGCCTTTGGCTGTGCCTGCCCCGGGCTAGAAGGGCGTGATGAAGTTGCAGCGCCACCTGGTGTTTAGGCTGGGCTCTGCAGTGGCCAGGCTGAGAATCAGAGTTCTGCTTAGGGCTTTAGGAGAGATTAACTAAAGAGATTAAACACATTGATTCGTCCAATACTTTTTGTGGGGGATGGGGGCACACCTGGCCGTGCTCAGGGCCTATCCCTGTTATGCACTCAGGGATTGCTCCTGGAAGGTTCAGAGAATCATATGGGGGTGTTGGGGATTGAACCTGGGTCAGCTGCGTGCAAGGCAAGTGCCCTACCTGCTATCTTATCTCTCGGCCCCAGATTCCCCCAATACTTGAGGAGAAAGAGGCAGCAGGAGGCAGGGGAGAGGTCAAAGGGGGACCCTTTTCGGATAACACAGAAAGTAGTGGGGTCATCTCCCTTGAGACAGACCCAGGAAATCCAGTTCAGTTCAGAGGAAGAGGGCGCTTGGCGGGGCTCTGCTCTGAACGTCGGGAGAGAACAGGGGGGCAGCCTTCCCTTCTCTCCTCTCCGGGCTACAGTAGGTGTTTCACTCCCACAGCCCCCCCCCAACAGCCCCACCCGGTCTCGGGAGGCCTGGGTGTGATGGCCAGACTTGTCTGTCTGCCTGTCCCTCCGCGGCAGGGCCTGAGCAGGGGCTGGGTCAACTGTGCTGCTTGACCACATTTGCCATGGGACATTGGGGGATGCACTCTGGGGGGTTCACAGAGCTCCCCAGGACCACCCTCCCCCAGTCCACCCTCAGGGCGGGGCTCAGCCTATCTGCAGCCCCTGTTCTCCACTGCAACTCTCCATGATCCCTTCTCCTCCCTCCCCATCTCTCTCTCTCTCTCTCTCTCTCTCTCTCTCTCTCTCTCTCTCTCTCTCTCTCTCTCCCCCCCCCCCCACCTCTCCCTCTCTTGGATTTTCCAGGTTTTGTGTGGGAGACAAATTCTTCCTGAAGAACAACATGATCTTGTGTCAGATGGACTATGAGGAGGGGCAGCTCAATGGCACCTTTGAATCCCAGGTTCAGTAACGCCCGGTGCCTGGCCTCCAGGCCCGTGTGTCCATCTGTCCGCCCGTCCGCCTGGCCAGCCAGCCGCTCCTGCCGTGTCCGCACTCATGTGTCCTGGACGGGAGGGGCGTCCTCCCTCGCCGCCGCTGTCTGTGTGACCCCCTCCTGGGGCCGGGCCTGTACAGTCTGTCTTCTGTATATAAATGGGAACATTTATTTTATGAGAAATGTAATGCGATTTTATTACTGGCGTGGATTAAACTTATGAATGTTTCCGGGGAGGTTGCTCTGCGTTAATCACGTGTGTGACACAGACAGACCTGGGGCCTTTCTCTGCTTCGAAATGGAACCTGGTCCTCCCCTCGGCCTCTGAGTGTGGTGGGGGGAGGGAGAAGAAGCCAAGAACAAACTCCATGGGGTGCTACTGCAGGACACTCCTGACACCATTCCCATGGGAGGCGGTAAGAGGAGGCTCAGATGGGAAATCACACCCAGCCCCAGTTCCCACCACCCAGTAGGGTGAAAGAAAACTAAGGAAAGGGATTAGCTCCCAGCCCCCAGGGAGACACGGGAACTGGGGTGTCCTCCTATACATTGTACCTGAGAACCCCCCCCAAGAGAACCCAGATAAAACCTCCCTTCCTTGGACTTCTGTGTGGCAGCCCCCACCCCCTCGCGCCACCCCTAGGCCAGCTCAATCTCCTCCACAGAAGGCCCCACTGGAGAGTGTTCCCAGGGGGTCCCATCCCATCCGGTCTCCTCTGCCCTCTGAGCTTACAAACTGCCCTTGCTCTCTCTGCCCACAGCCTGGGCCTTCCCTGGGGCCCAGCACTCTGCTTCTCTCTGTCCAGTTCCCCTGACCCTTTGCAGGTGTGGGCACCTGTTCATTCCTCCACATGCCAACCCCCCGCCCAGTGCCCGCCCATGCACCACAGGCTGCAGATGGGGGAATCACGAATCGGATCCAGCTCTCAGCGAGGAAGGAGAAAGCCAAAAAGAGAAACAGCAAGGAGACCTGGGCTGGGCTAGCTCCCACTCACAGGCCCAGAACCCCTTGTGAGGACTCTGGGGGTCAGACAAACAGACAGACACATCAGGCAGGGGATAGGCACACAGGAGGCATGACGGCAGAAGTAGGAGGTGCCAGGCCAGAAGGCCGACTGGAGGGTGTTTTCCACCCCCCAACCCCTGTGGAGGCTCCCCTAGCCCACTGATCTTATTTTTCCCCCCTTTTTCATTTTGAGCCAATCCCGGCGATGCACAGGGCTTACTCCTGGCTTTACACTCAGGAATTACTCCTGGCGGTGCTCAGGGGAGCATATGGGATGCTGGGAATTGAACCCAGGTCGGCCGCACGCAAGGCAAATGCCCTACCCGCTGTGCTGTCACTCCAGCCCTGAGCCCACTGATCTTGGTCTTGACTGTAGTCAGCGCCTGACAGCCTGCCTCTGGGTTGTGTGACCTGGCTCCCTCACCCAGGGACTGTCTTCTCCTGACCCCGGCAGAGTCTCTGTCAGATGGAGCTGGTCCCCTGCTTTAAGGTGACCAGCTGCCCATTTAGGGCAGTGCTGGGACCTCCCCTCACCTTGCCCCAGGCCCACCTTCACTGTCTCTGTGCACACTTGAGTAAGGCTTCACATTGGGGTTCTGGGCTCAGGCATCGGGTCCATGGGACTGCTAACGTCAAGGGTCTTGAAAGTCAGAATATAAAACTCTGGGATTTCCACCTCCTGTGGGCAGAAGAGGGCAAAGAGCTGGAGATCCAGCCTCAGTGTGCATTGTTGCATTGTCGCATTGTCGTGAGGGGGGATAGGACTGAAGCAGGGGTCGCCATAGGGGAGTTGAGTGAGTGTGAGGGCTGGAGTCCAGAATCTCCAGTGTCTTCTCAACTTGAAAAAGAAAATACTTTCTCCTGGATTGCAGCAGCAGCCCCCCTTCACCCCATGACAGACTCATCCTGGCCAAGGGGTCCAAGGTGGGTCTGCCGTCCCCACATTCTAAACCCAGAGTTTTCTGTGGATCAAGTTGTAGCCCAAGTTAATTGCGTGGTTGTGGGGAGAGAAGGGAGCCTCTCCAATGCAGTTTCTGGGCAATTACAATTGTTTCCAACAGAGCTGCCATATTGCAGCAGTGAAAGAACATGTCATTTTGTAGCAATTATGTAATTAACTTGTCTCACCGCTCTAGGTTGCACGACAATTAATTCTCTCACAAGGAGATAGACTCGGAGTCAGCAGCCGGGCTTTAAAAGCCCCCAAGAGCAGAGCTGGCCTTCTAGAAGGACCCCAGCCCCACTCGACCGACCTCTCACCTTGTCAGCATGGTTGCCCAGAATAGTGGGCAGGGAGGGGTCACCGGGGTCCAGCTCATGTTGGTCCAGGCCGCTGTTGCTGTCTCAGCGGCGCCGTCCAGAGATGGGGAATCAGCTGTTTTCTGGGGTTCAGACGTACCCCACTGTGAAGGCTGTGCTCATACACACTCCCGGGACCCCCCCATCCTGGCCAAATCGAGTAGGAGCCCCTTCCTCCAGCTACTACAGGACACGGCTGCACAGGCTTTGCTCGGTGGACGTGCAAGCAACAGGAGAACTCGGGGAACAGAGGGGAGACCATGCTCTCTCATTAACGCGGTACCTGATGGAGGGTAGCTCTGGCTGGCTGGTGGAGGCTGCAGTTAACCCCCCTGGAGTGGATTCACAACTTCGACGGGTGACCCAGAGAAAAGGTGGGCCCCTCTTCTAGCCCCTGTGTAGGGAAAGCTGTGGTAAGTAGAGGCACGAGGTGTCCTAGAGTCGCTCTCCTGAGGTCGCAGCTCCACAGGAAGTTGGAGTTCCAGGGAACAAAGCATGCCAGCCAGTCAAGGTTGCAGCAGCTCAGGCTTCAGCCTGAGCTATGCAGACGGTTGGGTTACGACAGGCATTGAGCTATGGAGTGCAGAATTCCCTTCTACCTAGGGAACCCTGTTCCTTCTGCCATTCTTGGTGGCCCAGTGCCAGAGACACCCAAACAAGGGGCTGGGAACCTTGGAACAGGGCACCTGTTCTTGTCACCACTCACCAGCCCGGAGCCGGAGCAGAGCAGCCATAAAGTGTGTTTAGTTTGGTGCCAGTCTTGCCACTGCTGTGGGACTTAAGGAGATCTCACAGAGGCACTGTCCTGAGTGTCCACCCAGAAACCCTGCCCCCGTCATGAGTCATACAAGGGCCAGTGACTGGCCAAATTTCACTGGTGAAATTATTGCCAATCTCTCCACGTGGACACAACTGCTGATGTCTCTGCATGGACCATGGCTATGCGGCTTCCAGTTATGGGAGAGCCCCTGGTCAGCCTCGCTGAAGTGCACAGAGCAATTCCCAGCGGCCCTGTGGGGAAGGGCCTCTGGTTGCACTGAGCATCAGCCTGGGGCATCACCCAGGAGAGAACATGTCATTCAGAAGTTGATACTGAACTGAGGTTTACCCCTCAAATGCAGCAGCCCAAGAATGGACTAAAAGTGGGCTAATAAGATGAGTGACCCCGAAAAATATTTGTTCTGTCTCAAGAAATTCCCATGGGTTCCTAGAAAAATACTGAGAGCGTAATCATATAAACCAAGCAGCAAGCCAATAGACATGCATATGCATACACACACATGCATATACACACACATACATACATAGGCAAACACACACACCAAAAGCTTACAACAGCATGTGAGTGAATCAGAATTTAAAGAGCAGAGCTGATCAGTCACTGGGAGAGAGACTTATTCTAACTTTGTCTTTTGGGAGGATGATGGTATTGAGCCACAATGGGTGGTACTCAGAGATCTCTCCTGGCTCTGTGTTCAGGGATGGTGCTTGGGGGACTATATGAGGTGCCAGAGATTGAAACAGGGTCAGACAATTGCAAGACTAGTGCCCAAATACCTGTATGATCTCTCTGCCCCTGCACTATTATCCCAGGAAGGGGTAGGAGGCTCCACCCCAGTGCTCAGAGTTAGGGGAGCCTCAGGGAGACTGGTCTTCAGATCCTCCTGCAGACACCATCTTGCCAGCACCAGCCCTCCTAGTCAGGGGTCTGCTACAACCCTGCAGCCCCTCTCCCCTTCCACCGCCCCATCACCCCCTGCAAACCCCATGCTTCCCAGCACTGGCCCGCCCCACTCTCCTTTTTGGGTTGAGAGTCGCAGGGAAGTTTTGTGTCAAACTTTTTCTTGCCCTGAGATATCTTCCTTGCACATCAGTGCCCTCTTCTTGGCACATTTTTGCTGGTACTCCCTACCCATGGCTCCCATTCTCGTGACCACTTAATGACTTGAGTGGACCAGAAAGCAGAAAATGGGAATTCTCTAGCATCCATCAGGATGCTCGGACAGAGGCAAGAGGAAAAAGAGTGGGGAGAAGAGAGTCTGGAGCAGGCCCGTGGGAGCCGGGAATGTGGCAACTCAGAGAGAGAGAGAGAGAGAGAGAGAGAGAGAGACAGAGTCAGAGACAGAGACAGAGAGAGACAGAGACTAGCCTTTAAAGCCTGTTTCCCAAGTGAAAAAGTGCTCCCACAATGGTTTTCAACTGGGCTCCTCATTTCCCCTTCCGGACTCCGGAGTCTACCCAGTCACCCCCAGCTTCCATTGGGCACCACTTAGATCCCAATTTTTCATGCAAAATACCAACAGCTGCAACCATAGACTGTCCCACCAGCATTGGCCAAGGCTGGCTGGAGCCTCCTGGGACAGTGTGAGTCCTGCAGGAGAGGCCCCCTCCTTTGGGGGTGAAACTAGACGCCAGAGAGGAGCAGGTCCAACAGCCCCTGCCTGGAGCTTGCTCTACCTCTTGGGTTCACTCTATGAGTGGAGTGGGGGGTATCTGGAGGGGGTTGGCCAGGGTTATCCTATGGTTTATCAACTCCTATTATGTCTTCTAGGGTCTGAGGAATGGAGACAGGTGTCAGGCCACACTGCTTGTTCTGTGGGTCATCCTAGCACAGCTGGAGAACATGGGGTCTCCCCACCAGGCATGCAGAGATGCCTCACATAGACTCAGGCTCTCCTGACTTCCTTTCAGCACCCATTAGGGGTCCAAGGGAGGGGAGAGAGAGAGAGAGAAAGAGAGAGAGAGAGAGAGAGAGACAGACAGACAGAAACAGACAGAGAGACACAAAGGGGGGAGATAGAGAGACAGGGGAAGCAGAGAAAGACAGAGACAGAGAAACAGAGATGGAGAGACAGAGGTAGAGAGACAGAGACAGAGAGAGACACAGAGGGACAGAGGAAGAGGAAGAGATGGAGGGGATTGTG